CAGGCAGTCAGTCAGGCAGTCATCCAAGAAACCAACTCTGAGGCAGCCTCAGTACAGAGCCAGGCCCTGCCTGGGTTCAGCTTTCACCCCCAGGGCTGTGTGGCTCTGGGCAAATCACTCCACCTCTCTGGGCCTCCTCTGCTGTCTCAGCTCCCGAACAGGCCCTACCCCGGGTTTCTGTGCGACTTAAACAAGCTAATGCTTGTGATGATTCTGAAGCTGAGCCCAGCACTGCCTTACGCACGGAGAAATTATTTGCAATTCCCACTGGAAGGTAGCAATTACCCCCGCCAGCACCAGGGGACCTCCCTAGGCCCTCGAGGGGCTGTTTGCCACTTTGGGGCAGCTGCAGGCCGTCAGCGGAGTCTCTCACCGGGTTCTGGCTTTTGAGCTCTCAGAACAATCTTTGGGGCGTGGGAATGTCAGCCTGCCTAATTGAGTGTGTTAGCAACATCTGTCAGTGCCGCTGCCTCGCCTTGATCGGGGGTGAGTGAGCAGAACCTTCCTACTGATGGGAGCCCGGTCCAGGAAGTGCAGGAACCTCTGGTCTGACAGGCTGAGCACAATTTTTTTTATAAAGATTTATTTATTTATGCATCCAGAAAGGGGGTACAGGCCAGAGGTATGGGGGCGGTGAGAGGACTCACCAGAGACAGTGGAGAGCAGAGCAGGCAGATCGATGAAGCACACTGCTGAGGGAGCAGTGGGCAGGTCAGGAGAGGTCTGCCGTGCCCTGGGGGTCACTCCGGGGCGGGGATCGAACTCATGCTGAGGTGGCTGCGGCTGTGTCCCAACCCGCTGCGCCACCAGGGAGGGCCCAGGCCGAGCCAGGGTCCGGCCTGCGGGTGCTGAGACAGGCATCTGGCTCAGGCTGGGCCGGGACCAGGTGGCACTAGTGGCTTCTGGAGGAAGAGCGGCCAGGAGCGATATTTGAAGGTGACTTTTGGCGTTTGATAGTTGAAGGAAAGTGAGCTCATGGACGGCAGCAGCATGTGGAAGCTGCTTCCTGATCTCGAGGTGCTGGCCTGGTAAAGTTATGGGTGCAAAGAGCAGTATCTGGAGAGAGTGGCCTTGGGCAGGACCACACCTCCCAGGGCCTCAGATATGGCCAGGAGGGTGGGGCCTTGGGGTGCTGGGGCAGGGATGGGTCGGCTCTGGGAGTGGACAGATGCCAGCCCAGGGCAGGCCGGTGCAGGGAGCACGGGGGCTTTGGGGAGCAAACGGGAAGCGGCAGAATGCTCTTGGCTCTCCGGGGACTGGGGCGCAGTAGGGGTGTCCCCCAGGACCCCAGGAGGACGAGCATGGTTGGGAAATGTTCCCGAGCCCAGCTTGGGACTTTGTGTGTGGAGGGACATGGACCTGGGGAGGGCGGAGGGCCCCAGGCCGGTGGGAGAGCTGAGCCTGGAACTTCTGCCCGGGGTTCAGGAAGCCCTGGAATGAGAGCCGCAGCAGTAGGTGAGATGTCACAGGGGGAAATGTGAAGTCAGGGAGGCTGCGAACTGGCGGCCTCTTTATTTTGGCATGCACGAGCAGTTTTAAGCCCGACCCTGAGTGTCTCAAAGTGCACCCCACCCTGTGGGCGCAGCCCCAAGGGCACCCCTTAGGTCCTGTGACAGTTTTTCTTTTTAAAGAAAGTATTTATTTATTTATGCACATAAGAACTGGGGTACAGGCCAGAGATACAGGGAGTGAGAGAGTGGGGAGCAGAACAGGCAGATGGACTGAAACCCACTGCCGAGGGGGCAGCAGGGAGACAGGACAGGCCTGCTGCGCCCTGCGGTCACTCCCTGGCCGGGGATCGAACTCGCGCTGCAGGGGCTGTGGCCAGCTCCATCGTGCTGCGCCCTGACCCCTGTGCCACCAGGGAGGCCGACGGCTTCTTTAAGTGACCTGTCGGTGTTTGGGACCTGTGTAAGGAAGGCGAATGGGGAGCGCTCTGGGGAGCACCTCACTGCGGAGGTGCAGAAGAGACAGCAGCAGATGAGGCAGGGCCAGGCGGTCAGGGGCCGGAGGGAGGCCAGGGCCAGGGGTGCCCTGCCAGGAAAAGACCCACAGTCACAGCGGCTTTGTGAGAAAGTCAGTGAGACCCGGAGGCCACTGTGAGGGACAGGCGGGAGTTGCTGCGCTCTGAGGACAATTCCACTTGTCTGCATTCGTGGTCCGCCAGAACTTTCCTTGACGGTGGGAATGTTCTGTGGACACTCGTGGCTCCTGAGCTCTTGAACTTGACACCAGCGCCGAGGAAACGATGTAACTGTTTGCCCTGGCGGGGTGGGGCACAGCCCGGGTTCTGAAACAGTCCGTGAAAATGTTTTGCCACGAAGGGCTTGTGGGAGTTTGATGGGAAAGAAAGTGTGGGCCCAGGGCTGGGGTTGAATGGCCTGAAAGGTTGAAGCGGGGAAACCGAGGCCAGCCTGGACGCAGGCCCGGAAAGGAGGTTCTCGCTGCGCCGGTGAACCCGCTTTCGGGGTCACCCCCACCTCAGGTCACTGACGTGAATGCAGGTCTTCCCCACTGAGCGCTCTCTGGAACCAGAGCCCAAGCAGCTTCTAGATAGTTTCAAACAAGCCCGTCTCTCCAAACCGCTTGCGGGGTCTCTGAAGCTCGGGGCCAGTCAGCATTTGGACCGCGCCTCGGGCCTTTCTGTGGTGCTGGGGGCTGCGGTCCACGGTCACCGGGAAACCTGTCCCAGCCCCGCAGCCGGAGACAGAAGCCCTGTGAGACAGGCCGCAGTAGGAGGCAGCCGAGGCGCTCACCCTGCACCTGCCCGGGGCGGCCAGCCCCTTCCCAAGAAGGGTGACCGGGCCAGGCGGAGGGGAGAACCTGGCGCCAGCTGACGGGAGGATGACTTCCTCCCGTGCTGTTCCAGTGACTTAAAGCTCAGGGGTGGCCTTCGTGGGCACAGGTTGCCCACCGGCCTGGCTGCCGTGTGAGGCTTACTCGGGGCATCGGGGTGTTTCGCTGGCGCCTCGGCTCTGTGCAACAGGCTGTGTCGTTGCTGGCTTTTCGTCTGGGGAGGCAGGTTCAGCTCAGAGAGGGGAAGACACTTGCCCAGAGTCACGCAGCTTGTGGCTGGCCAGGGCTCCCGCTGCCATCACGCCCTCCGGCGGCGGCGGGGAGCGGGGAGGGCAGCAGGGCCAGCGTGGACTGTGGCTACCCGGGGGGTGCACAGGGCAGGTCTGCTCTGCCGGAGGCCGGGGTGAGTGGGGACGCCCTGGGGCTCATGCCCGCTCTCCCCCCAGGGGGACCTTGTGCCAGTGCGGGCATCCCCGGAGCGTGCACCTGTCTGTGGCTGTGGAGGACGCCTTTGGGGCGGCTGTGGTGACCTCATGGGACAGTGACCTGCACACCACGGAGAAGCCCACCGATGCCTA